ACACCATTTTAAGGTCAATATTATTATTGTTTTGTTTCGTTAGTCTACAGAACAAACTACTGTTACAATAACTTGCCTAATTACCCTAACCTGCCTAGCTAACCTAATTAACCTAGTTCAGCCTTCACTTTAAGTTGTATAGAAGTGTCTTGAAAAATAACCGATAAAATATTCTTTACTGTCATCATGGCAAAGTTAACAGAAATCAGTTATTAGAAATGAGTTATTAAATCTATTATGTTTAGAAATGTGTTAAATTCTTAGAAAAATCTTCTCTGCATTAAACAGAAATTGGGGACAAAAATAAACAGGGGGATTAATAATTTTGACTTCAACTGTATATATATATATATATATATATATATATATATATATATATATATATTGGAGTGGCTATTTGCATTTAGTGTAAATAGCCCACCTTGTTGACAGAAGCTATTTACACTTTGCCGAAGTTTGCCCGAACCAAGCTCAAAACTGTCGCAAAGTGCCTCAACCAATGTCAAATGCTGGTCAAATCAAGGCGCAAATATTTGAATTTTGCACAAGCAGAATCAAGGGATTGATCAGATGTTGGGTGCAGTGAAGTTAATCAAAAGAATGCGTTAACCTACTATTTTTTTGGTCAGTACTGTTTTGAACTTTACTGCACTTTTATAGTTCCGTGATATGTTTAACAGCCATAGATGTTACAAGTGGTACTGTGTTTATTCGGTTATTTTTACATCATGTAGAATGCCATGTGTTTATGCTTTGTATCATTATGCTAATAATAGGGATCACAAGATTCATGATTTGCATTACTGAATTGGCATACCGCTGCGATATACCATTGAAAAAGCTATTTACATAACAAAACTTGTTCTACCTGTATTACTTACGAATACACAATATTGAATATGCAACGTAAGGCTGATTTCGCAACGTATAGCTGATTGAAGTGCTTTTCTAATCTCCACTGCTGCCGTATGCTTCCTTATCAAATTTTTGGGTATGTGACCCTCTGATTTCTAAACGAAATTAACTTAATATTATAAGTTTGATTGATTACATGCTGCATCCTTATTACTTTTTTCCTTTCTTTCTCTGGTGAAAAAAAAACAGCATATGCTGGTGAGGGAGGTGTTGATGCAGGTTTGCTGTTCTCAATGTAGCTTATTTGCTGATCCTGACTCCTGTGCATTGAGACCAGCATCTAAACATACCTTACCAGCACATGCTCTTTTTTACATCCTTCAATCAATGTGCACAAATATGGCTTAAGGTTGGAGTTTTGAGATTTACATTTTTATTGAGTGTCTCTAAATTTCAGCACTTGTACACATCTTGTAATTCCACTGTTTGGTTTGTTTGACAGACATGATAAATAGCAGTGGTGGTGCATAATATCAGCACTGTAACTGGTCAGATCATCTGTCAATCAAACTCCCTACAAATGATACATTCTGCTATGCTCAATTAAATCAATTCCCAATAGATAAGAACTGCTCTTGATATCCTTCACCAACCAAGCAAATGCAATATCTGACTTTAAAATGCACTCTCTTCCAGTTCTCCCTCTTTTTATTTCAGCATTCCTTTTAGCACTGCAATTTTTAGATCTGGCATTGCGTCCACCTTGTCTCCCTGTACCCAAAGCGCAATGCCCCAGCCTGTACAGTACTGTGCCTTATGGCCAGCACTGCTCTCTCTTCCCTCGTGTGTGTGTGTGTGTGTGTGTGTGTAGTGTCAGTGGTTCTTCAGCCAGCAGTGTGTGGTCCAGCTCCTGTGTGACTCTTACTGGCCTCTGGCTTTACGCTCTACGCCCCACATTGGCCATTCCTCAGGGCTGTTCTCCATCTCCCAGCATCCCTTTCGCCTGCCATGCATATCAATCACTTTAATGGGGGTGCTTTCAGATGAAAAAAAACACTCAGCTAAACTAAAGTGGGTCAGTATCCTTTCACTGATGCTGATGGGAGGGGAGGACGGAAAAGCGAAAACGATCTAGAGAGAGATAAATACGCAGATAGAGGTATATTGAGGGAAAGATGGTCTGAAAACAGAGCAGCTGGTGGGCCTGGAGTGGCCTCTCACTTCCATTAAGTGAAAACAGGGCACAGAGTCAATATAACAAGCGGCTGAATGAGTCATTAACCTGGAAAGCTAAAAAGCCACATCACAGATGTCTAGCTCAGTGTCTAGTCCTTTTAGAGTTGACACATATCCACTCACCACAGAATCAAAACATTAGCGGTACTCAAATAAATAACATGAACATTATAAACAAAAGCTAACGCACTTAATTTGTTTACTGCTATTTGTGTTTCTGCACGCCAACACAACTATTATATAAAAAAAGATTTGATATTAAAATCATTCCTAGTGTTTTTGACCATTTGAACAACATTTTTTGGCTTCTAGAATATATTATGAACATCTGAATATGATAAATAAAGACTATTTATACACATATATACAGTACAAGAAGATCAAATCCACTCTCAGAGCTTGGATAGTCATATAGTAACATTGATTTGATTGCTTAAATTTGCATAAGCAATGGATTCATTGCTTGTTTCTCCAAATCCTCCACGTAGAGATTTTCTATTCTTACTAGGATAAAGAACAGCACCAAGAAATAATGAAATAAAAGAGAATAAGAATTGCCAGAAAATCCCATCAATGGTGGGAAAGAGTTTACTGTACAGTGATTTTCAGAGCAGCTTTACAGAAAATGACCTAAAGATATTTCTCTTCGTTGCTGCATTGAGGGCACCATAGCGTCCAGGGTCTTCCGGTAGTAAGCTTAGAACTTCCATTTACAGTGTTTAAAACTAGTAAATCTTCATCCGAAAATGATTGACAATACCATTTTGAGTGGCTTATGGAGTTTTCCCACAACTTTGATTTTGAAAGACGTGTGTTAAAGCCGTTATACTACTGTCAGATGTGGTTCAAGCGCGAGAGAGAAACGTTCACCTAATTCAGTGTCTGCCTTCAGATAAGATGCTACAATATAGCGTCAGTGTTCCTGACCTGTCGGCTATACTGTACTCAGCAGCTCTTCAATGCACACACACACACAATAGATCACTGCATTATAGGGAAAGCCTTATTACTGGCATGAAACTTAACAGGTATGTAACGTAAGCCCATGCAGTTTCCAAAAAAAATAAAATAAAATAAAAGTACGTTACTGTACTTTTTTTTTTTAGTATTACCCTGAAATACTCCCTTTTTATTTTTTCCCCGATTTCTGTTTAACAGAGAGCAGATTTTTTTTCAACACATTTCTAAACACATTAGTATTAATAACCCATTTCTAATAACCGATTTATTTTATCTTTGCCATGATGACAGTAAATAATATTTTACTAGATGTGTTTTCAAGACACTTCTATACAGCTTAAAGTGACATTTAAGGGCTTAACTAGGTTAAGGTAAAAAAAAAAAATTAAAATATAAATATATATATATATATAGCTTGTAAGGGCTACTAATTTTGTCCGTAAAATGGTGTTTAAAAAAATTAAATCTGCTTTATTCTAGCCGAAATAAAACAGATACGACTTTCTCCAGAAGAAAAAAAATATTATCAGACATACTGTAAAAATGATTTATTTTATCTTTGCCATGATGACAGTAAATAATATTTTACTAGATATGTTTTCAAGAGACTTCTATACAGCTTAAAGTGACATTTAAGGGCTTAACTAGGTTAAGGTAAAAAAAATAAAAATAAATAAATAAAATAAAAAAAAAAAAAAAAAAAAATATATATATATATATATATATATATATATATATATATATATATATATATATTATCAGACATACTGTGAAAATTTCCTTGCTCTGTTAAACATTATTTGGAAAATATTTTAAAAAGAAAAGAAAAAAGGGGGGCTAATAATTCTGACTTCAGCTATATATATATATATATATATATATATATATATATATATATATATATATATATATATATATATATATATTCTTGTCATAAAAATAATGAAAATATTGTTGATGTCGTGAGTATAAACATATAAAGACACATAAAAATTAAAGAGAATAAAAATAAATAAAAAATAAATTGTATTTACTGTATGTACTTACAATTGTATGGAAGTCTGTTCCAGCAGAATCTACATCAGAGTTAGACTTATGTCTATTATGGATCAGAGAGCGCCAAATTAAAGGTATAGTAAAAAAAAAAGCAGGGCTATTATTTCTGACTTTAACTGTAAATCATCCTAATGCAACACAGCCATTTGGTGTTCATAACATTCCTCATAATTAATTTAGGGAGCAAAAAAAGTTTTAAAGAGCAGTATATATTTGAAACATTATAACTTTTACTATCATTTTCCATCAAAAAAGTAACAAAAAACAAAACAAATCCATTTATTAATTTACAATAAATTATAGCCATATATACTAAAGTTTTAAACAATTGCATATTTCTTTTTTATCATAATTTATCAAAATTTTCAACACTTCCCCTGATCCCTCGCACATTTATAACCACAGCTTTAGTTAGATTAATCTTCATAACCGCAGAAAAACAACAGCACCTCAACACATCAGTGCTTTTAAACTACACCTGGGAGAAATCCCAAGCTAGACAAACCCTGACGCATTATGCATACCATGATATATGAAACACCTGCTCCACCATCTGCTTTCATATGAAGCCTGCACACTATGGAGGCAAGATCACATCAAATGTCACGCCAACAGTGTTGACGGTCACAATGTTACGCCCTTACCTCTAAAAGATCTTTAACAACAAAACAATTAGCCAACAACACGCTGCTTCTGATCTTTCTTTAGCCGTAGCATGTAGCATATGTGGAACAGATGGGATACTGACCTTCTCAACAGTAACCAAACAACAATATCCTCAAAGTATGGAAGCATTTATAGTATATAGTGTGACTGCATACATTTTGAGCAGCTAGGCCTCATCCATCAAGGGGAGAAGAAGTGTGGTGTCAAAAGATAAAGATAGCACTCACCGGTTCTTTAGCTTTCTGCGCTAACACTGCAAAGGTGGACAGCTTGCTGCACAGACATTTGGTGTGGGAGACTGCCGGCGATGGGAGCGTTTGGCAGCTCTCTGCGTCCCAGTTTTCTTCGCCAGCCTCTCTGTTGATAGGGTATAGTGACAAACACACACAAACACACACAAAGTGAATGAATGAACTGGGTCATTCCATAAGAGACAGCAGGAGAGAGTGACCGTATGGTGAATAGTATTGAAAACTTGTCAATGACAAACCCACTCCAAAAGCTCTCAGACAACCACAACTGTCCTCAAACGCACTGGTTCTGCTCTTATAATGGGTCATCCTGTCTGTTCATGAACTGTTTGGAAATATCTGCTTGTCATACACACAATTTTAGGGCCTCGTCATTGTTGTACATACTTTCCATTGTGATTTCAGTTAAAGTGTACTTAAAAGTCCTCAAAATGTCTAGCAAACGCACTTTGCACTCCAATTCCCATTGGTTACCCTTTATATTTTATTTTGCAAGCACTTGAATTGTAATCATTTGATTGTTAAGAGTAACTTTCATTCACCATCATTTTGTCAATAGGAATACATATAGTATTTATACATGCCATTCAGTGCATACAAAATGTTTGACATCAACACTATTTTCTAATTTAAATTTTTATATAATGTTGTTAAACTGAATAAGTTTTATGGTTTCAATAGATTGGACAACCTTAATTGGATGTAATTTCAAATAATACAATATATTTGAAAAAAAAAGTATTAAAAATGAAAGAAAAAAAGACACTTTCTGTAATTTCCACCAATCAACAAGTAGTTTTTAATCATTTAAATTACAATACAATTTAGCATTAACAGTTGTAAATGTTTTATTTTTTTATTTTACAAAATCTATCTGTCAAGCTGAATCACAATGTAACATTATTTCAATAATTTTTAATATATTGTAAATACATATTGTTGCCTTAAATCTGTTAGTTGAATCAAATGAACTTTTCTAGTCATCTCAACATTAATCAAACTAACTAAAGATATGAAAGTAAACTTTGTATGAAACTTTTGGTTGAAACCTGATTACCTTATTAAAATAAGTTAAAGCAACATCATATAAGTGTACATAAGTGTATATAAGTGTGTGAATGTGTATATATATATATTTATACAGCTGAAGTCAGAATTATTAGCTCCTCTTTGTTTTTGTTTTTTTGTTGTTGTTTTTTTTGTTTTGTTTTTTCTAAAGTGTTGAAATCACAATTATTAAACCCCCTTTGAATTTTTTTTCTTTTTTAAATATTTCCCAAATTATGTTTAACAGAGCAAGGAAATTTTCACAGTATGTTTGATAATATTTTTTCTTCTGGAGAAAGTCTTATTTGTTTTATTTTAGCTAGAATAAAAGCAGTTTTTTAATTTTTTTAACACTATTTTAAGGATAAAATTATTACCCCCTTTAAGCTATTAAGACAAACCATCGCTATACAATAACTTCCCTAATTATCCTAACCTGCCTAGTAAACTTAATTAACCTAGTTAAGTCTTTAAATGTCACTTTAAGCTGCATAGAAGTGTCTTGAAAAAAATATGTCGTGATCACCTATGCAGATCGCTGGGGAACTACAGTTCTACCACTACCATGATGCTTAGTGCCAATCAGCCAATCAACACCTGCTGATACACTGATACATACGCACAGGTTAAGATCCCTCTGACTGATTACGAGCACTATATACACAGCACCCACATACTTCTTTGCTTTTTATATCCCCAACACTGTTATCCAGTGTTCTACAGTAGCACACACACATTGACTTTTTGTCAGTAATTGAATTAAATAAAAAAAATATTATTGTTATATTTTTTTAAATTATTTTTATGTTTAAATATTTATTTCTCCTTTTATTTTAACAGGATACTTGTCGATTCATAATTCATCAAAGTCAAAGTCAGCTTTATTGTCAATTTAACCACATGTACAGGATAAACAGAGAATGGAAATTGCGTAACTTTCAGACCCCAGGTGCCTAACATATAATGTCATATAATATTAATACAAAAAGTAGAATTTTTAAGATGAAATTACAATAAATACAATTACACATTTACTATAATCTAAAAATATGAGTTAAAACAACACTTGTAAACAGTAAACAGTAAACTTGTAAACAATACAATGAAAACCAGAGTTGTGCAGATGCAAAACAGTATATAGTGAAAAAAGTACAGTGTTGCTGTTTTATATAATTTTGGTAAATGTTACACCGGATTTCAATGGAGCATTTGTGCATGTACTGTGTCAATGTGATGATCTGAACATCAGAATCCACCACATATGTATGACATTTATTTTTCCTGCATACACATAATAGGAATGTTAAATGTAAACTGTAAAGCTTCATGTTGATCCTCAGATTAAACTCACAGCTGAGGCCAGATGGTCGGACTAAGAAGAACTTCTAATTATGGATTCGGCAAACAGTGTACAGCAAAAAGCACAAATGATTAAATATGTGTAACATTCTGTTTCCTCAATGGAAAATCCAAGTTCAAAGCCTAATAAAGTCAACTAAAGCCAGTTAAATGAAGCTGTACAAAACCTGTCAAAAGTTGGATCATTATTCAGCAGTAAGAAATGAAAAAGGGCTGTTTTTGTCCATGAATCATTACCACTCTGCCCTTGAGCAAGACATTTAAATCATCATCAAATCGGAATTTCAGAAAAAAATGCACAATTTATCACCTAATGTTATTCCAAAAGGGGAAAACACTTATAAACAGCGTATACTGTCATTTTGGCTTTACAAAGTGCACAACGAATAATTTCATCTCGGTTTCCAAGTGATGATTTACCAAGAGCTCTTTCAGTTCACTGAGGTCTCTCTTTTGTATTTGAGCCCTTTGAAGAGTTTCAAAGACTGACTAAAGTGCATCCAAACAACCTTATTGGATAACCTATAAGAGGAACCTTTATGGTTGTACAAACCTATTCAACACATATGAGAAAGGACTTGCTAATATTTGACCTTAATAAAGTCATTTCTAAATTTAGCCACTGACTAAGCACTAAGAATAGGTGTATATTTTTACTCATCTATATTCTCAGTGGGTTTTTAGAGCAGCGGGCACATTATTCCAATAGACATCACTAGATACAGATTTATATTAGTCAATATAAACTTAACAGTGTTCTGGAAATAATATGTATAAATAATATTGACGTGGAATTGAACCAGATTTTAGTAAAAAGGAAAAAAAACCTTAATAATACAAACATAAAAATAAAACAAAACTAAAAAAATCTGAAAAATTGTGTAATATAAATATAAAAAAGTGTCTAATAGCAATGGAATGACACAAGAAGAAAGTACTGAACTACTGAAATGTATTTAGCACTTTATATAAAAGTTTTTTTTTGTTTTTTTGTTTTCGTGACGGAAGCTTAAGCCGCCTCTCGTATGGAGAATAAAGTTACATGCATTCGGTTTCTGTTTGTCTCGTATATGAAATCTGACATTTATTTTGTATTTTTTACTGGATTCAAGTAAGGTGACTAGCTGGGCCATTCTACAACTTTATTTTCCTTCTCTGAAAATCTTTGAGAGTTTCCTTGTCTGAGTTTTGGATCATTTTCTTGCTGAAAAGTCCACCTTGGTTTCATCTTCATCATACTGCTAATGTAGATGTTGGATTGAAGCAGTAAATATTAATTTACATTGACGAAGGGTGGATGGTTGCTGAAGAACTACTGAGAGATTTTAGCTGCTGTCTGGGCTTTCACTTCCTTTCTACAACTCCCTTTCTTCATGTGTTCATTTTTTTCCCTGTGTAAATTACACATGACTTAATTCATAAACTAATTAGTTTTGTTTTCTGTGCATATATGCAATTATTTGATTGTTATCAACATCCAGTGAAAATTTCAAGTCGACAGCAACTTTAGAAAAATGTTTTCTGAGAAAAAGTGTGACTTGTTGAATACTTATTTCCCCCATTGTATGTGATCAGGTCTACATTTTCTGGGAACTGTCAAATACATGGCTGATTCGACGTCTGCTTGCAGTTGTTTTTGTACACAAATCCATTAGGGTTGCTCATCATACGTAACATTTACATGTATTTCTCGAGTGCGTCTGTGAGAAGCCGGCTGGCTTGTCCTGCATTTACCAGCCTGCTATCGATAGACCCACAAACCCCTTCCTCAAACCCAACTGAAAGCAAATTAGAAAAAAAAACACACTATGGCCACAAGGTTTTACTACAATTTCATACTACTATTTCTTTAAGTATATATTTTATATGAGCCCAAGAGCATATTGAGTAGGTTTTAGCAGCTTATCAACTGTTTAGCAACAATTTAGCAGTTTCTTGAAGCATTTTGAAGATATTGCTACATTTATTAAAGATTTAGTATTTCTCTTTTTATTTATGTCTTTCCAGACATACTGGATGATGGTGAGATCACTCACTATCCTCCAGCTTAGTCTTTCATGTATCAGGCACGGTCACACCAGAACAAACCACTATTTATTCTGGCATATGTTTTATGTGGTGGATGCCCTTCCAGCACACACTCATACAATACGGCCCAATTTAGAGAAAATCCATGCGGTCATGGGAAGAACATGCAAACTCCACACAAAAACACCACCAGGTCGAAATGTCTCCTTGGACTCAAACCAGCGACCTTCTTGCTGTGAGGCAACAGTGCAAACCACTGGGCCACCATGCCTCCCATGGTGAGATCATTCATTAGTTTTCTTCCAGCTTAGTTATTTTATAAATCAGGGGTCGGCACAGCGGAATGAGCCGCCAACCCTTTGTTTTACACAGTGGATACCCTTCCAGCCGCAACTTAACAATGAGAAGCATCCATACACTCTCATTCACACACATACACAACGACCAATTTAGCTAATTCAATTCACCTATAATTCAGCAATTGCTGTTTGCATAGTAAGTAATCATGTTAATATTATCCATAGAAATAACGTCAGACCTTTTACTCTTAGCAAAAACTTCTCTATAATCCTTAGTAAACATTTGTTTCAACAGCTTTCATTAACAGCTTCTATGAGAAAACTTATAGCTGAAAAAAAAAAAAAAACTTTTACTGCTATTTACCTATACTTT